AACATTTTATCATATTCACGTGAACTTAATGATGATAAAGAGAGAAATCTTCTTTGAAACATTCTCAATTTCATCATTGTTTTTTCGCTTCTTGTTTCATTTCCTACATCTCACCATCACCAGCAACAACAACAACAATACCAGCAGCAGCAGCAGTTAAAGCAATCAAATTCCAATCAAACAAATTGCAGAATATCATCGAACTGAACGTCCTTTTCTCTCTCTGCCTCGGAATTCTCTGAGAACAAGCGGGCGGAACGCTTTCAGACAAACATTCGGAAATTTATCATCTCTAGTTAAAGTACCTGCGCACCATGTTTTGCACCTTCTATGAAACACATTTCCAAAAATGTTACCCACTGTCTCACTTCGACTCCATCTCATCAAGCACTTAATTGCCCCATAAACATTTGCGATAATATTATTCTGTGACGATTCGATGGTGTAATACAGCTCAGTTGTTTCATTTTTCTTAATCATCATTTTTTGTCCTCTTCATCGAATTAATACTCTTTAAACTCACTGATATTCTTCCATAAGTCTTATTTTCCTGAATCAACAAATCTCATTTCAGATCAAACCGGGAAGATCATCTCTCATTGTTGGGTTTAGAAATGATCTTCTTGTTTGTTTTTTTCTGGAATTGCAGTTAATCGAATAAAAGGATAAACGGACGATTTAAGTTGACAAGTTGAAAAGAGGATCTTCCAAACGTTCTACGGTGCGATGAGCAGTTCGTTCTTCTGATAAAGACTGAGCATCATACTGAGAATATTTCCATACTATATCAAAATCGTTGATATGCGTGTATATCGTTATCGATCTTCCTTTCCTAACACATCGTCAACAAATGAGTGAAACTGCTAACTGCAGGCGATACGATGGGTTCAGCTGAAGTTGTCGTCTTACTGGTAGCATTTTGTTATGTATCAGCTAGAATGGAATTTTCGTTTCCCGAGGAAGTTCGCCTCAAAAATATTCGACAACTCACTTTCGGTGGTATCAATGCTCTTGCCACCTTCAAGTAATCACATTCTACTCTCTGATTCCCGTGCTCAATTGAGGCATTCGTAGGAAATTGCCCATAAATCTAACTATCGCCCTGAAAACAATCGAACCTGTACAACTTATTTTAATAGCCAATTTTAATTACCAATCTGAAATATTGTTGTCATTGAACAATGTATAAAGTTTACTGAATGAAATCGTTAAAAATGTGTTCCCATCGACTGATCTGATGATGTGATCAAATTGCAGTCCGCATAATGGAATGATGCTATTCCAAGCTCAAGGGCAATCGTATCATTCAGAATGTGATCATGTTAGTCACACATCTTCAAATACTTCACTAAGCTGCATACAGCTGCTCTCAATATGGATATCATGCTCATGTTGAATGCTGTTTCGCATCAAATAGCATCTTATAGATAAAATTCGGGGTCGAGGTGCACGTTTCCGATCACTTAAATATCTCACCATTAACAACTGTACAGACGAAATTCTTGAGCAGCAAATGAGCCGATGTTCTAATTTTAGATTTACAGAATGGATACCCAACTTTCAATTGAGCAACAAGTCGCAAGCCGAATCAGTACAGGTATGTTTCATCGTTTCACATAGATCCATCATTTCAAAGAGGGCTTTCGACTCCATCTGGATCCAGTCAGATTTCAAATCTACAAAACTAACTGAATTTCCACGGTGCACACACTTTCAGGAATTGGTGCATGCACACGTGCTGTGTTCTACCCGGACGGTAAAAATATCCTCTATGCGGGCACATTCAAGCTGACCAATTTGCGAACGATTGTTGCGGAGAATCCTTGCCCGCAGAAGATGTGTTCGACGCAAAACGAACGCGCAGATGCGGTTCTCAATAGATTCTGTACGTTCCATCATCACTCCAGAACATGCATCATCTGATCGGATATTAATTTCTGCTCATTTTGGATCATTCGGCGAACACTCTTCATCTGTTTTCGATCAGTTTGAAATGAATCATCACATCAATGAATCATAAAGCATTCCTACTCGAGTATCAGCTGATGTTTTCGTCAAAAACATTCCAATGTTCAATCGGATTATTGATAGGCAGCTATAGACCGCTGAAAATTTGACGATTTTCAACGAATAAAGCATAATCTGATCTGATCATGTTCTAATGAAAAGTGCATTCGCATGACATGATGCAGTCAGTACCATTTTATTGATGAGTTTTTTCCACGTTTCATTATCAACTTTCCAACGAAAATTTCGTGCAAAATTCCTTGGATACGTGCATTCTTCACAGATTAAGACGCCTAGGAATAGGGTGATACAGCTCGAAACATAAAAGTTGAACAGTTTGCAAACAAATATTCCATTTTGATGACAGCTGAACAATGTGACTGACAGCTGACAGATTGATCAGCTTGCATTGAAACTATCAAAGAACAAATAATTTTTGCATATCAGGACGGACATCTTTCTTATTTCAAGGTTGACAACTTGCTACGATATAAAACCGTGCAATTCAAATCATCCACTTTCAGGTCGTCAATTCACGTGGGAACTCTTTCCGTCATACGACATTTTTGAGGTACTCTTCTTTTGACGTATCTGCATTCTGAAAGTCTCTCGAAGTGTAATTTTCTGATTTCCGTGGAGTGTTTTGGATTACTCGTTTGCNTTCAAGTACAAAATTTCGTTTTGCAAACGAAACCAAGTTCAGGTGAATCAGTACGGCAACGTATTGAGACAACTCACCGATTCACTCGGCTATGACGCAGAAAGCGCGATTTCACCGGATGGATCTAAGATTGTCTTCACGTCAATGCGATCGGGTGATCCGGAAATTTGGATCATGAACAGTGACGGCAGTGACCCGGTTCAGGTCAGAGGCTTCTCCACACATCTTTGTACCAATTTTGCTGTTCTTTCAGTTGTTTTTTTTTTGGAGACTTACCATTTAATTCTCTCTCTCACGCTGTCTTGCATCCCGATTCGCCTGTCCTGGTTCGGCAGCTTTACTTTTCGGATCATTGAAGCGTTCTGTCACTTAAAACTAGCTCGTTTTGCTGCCAAAATATCCTGGGCGTTTGATTGAATTTGTCTAATTCGGTTGATACAATAATAGAGTGGGAAAAAATACTCAACTTTACAATGAAATGAAAATCAATTTTTGACGATTTCTTTGAAAAAACTCTTCATAGAATCTCGTCGAATGCATTAATTGTTTAACAGAATCTTAGTCGTAAAGAATTCCGTTTTTTGTTAAGCTAACGCATGAACGAGGCTACGATGGTGGCGCGTCGTTCAGTCCAGATGGTAAAAAGATCGTATTCCGTGCGTCGAGACCAACGACAGAACTAGAAATCGAGGAGTACGATAAGATGTTGAGGTGAGTTTTTCGAGAATTCGGAAATAATTTGAAGTTTAGATATAACATTGCAAATATTCCCTGAAATGCAGGCGATTGAAATACTCCCTTCAAATTTGTCACGGAAACAATGAAATTTTCATTATTATCAAAGTTCAAAGCATTCAAAAGCTTGAATTCATATCTTTTTGTTTGTGTTGATCATTATAAACGACACACAGTTGTTTCATGAGATTTTTTATCCAATATAATGAACATTCAAAAGTGATCTCCGCACCCGATCACAGTACTCAGATATCCTTTCACATTCACCTGATATCATTGCTACCCATAAAGCCAGTGACATTGGAAAGAAGAAGAAAAAACCAACGTCCATTTTGAATCCTTAGTTGACCATCCATCTTTCGATCTCACTTTTTAGACTTATCGCATCATTTGAATCCTGAATAATTTTCCGACTTAGAAATCACGTTTCAGTTACAATCTTGTTTCACCACTAAAAATGGAAATTTACACGATGAACGTGGATGGGACGAATATGCGTCAAATCACCGACTTTGGAGCATCCAGCTGGGGTGCTACCTACATGTACGACAGTAAACGAATTATTTTCACGTCGAATTACGAGCATGTCGGACGATGCGGCATATTCCATATTTATATGATTGAAGAAGAAACTCGACATATTGAACAGGTTGAGAAGTTTCAAATCGTTGCCTAGAGAGAAATATTATCACGTTGATGAGAATATGATCCGTCATCATAGGAAAGGTCGTTAATCTCGCAGGAATATCATTTATGGTCATGAGCGGGACAACTGGAAATCTAACAATTTGACAATAAGATTTGAATCGTAAACATGACAATGTGTGATTCAAGCATGATGGAACCGTTGCCTTACAACCCATAAATGTTTTTCACGACCAAAGTTACAGTGCAAATTAACTCGCAACAGTTTAAGTCTCGTCAATATGAAGCAAAGCACTTGAACTAAGTGCAAAGCGAGAGTGCTCTACCAAACAATAAATAATATATGAGCATGAAATTGCAATTATCGCATTATACCGCCCTGGAAATAGAATTGCTTCCCATAGCAACAACCAGACTAATTCGATTACGTCGAAATTACCACTAAAGTAACATTTTCACATTTTGACTAAGTCCTTTTTCTGGACATTCGAAAACGA